CTCTCTCTCTCTCTCTCTCTCTCTCTCTCTCTCTCTCTCTCTGACTGGCGAGGGAAAAAGGGAAGGGTAGAAAGGAAAAATCAAATATTCAAGGTAACTTTGATCACATTGAATGACCGATAACTCTGAAGTTCAGTTTGGTGGTGAATGGAGAGCACCATTCGCTGCAGCGCACAGATTACCTACGAGTACCTGATTGGCTATTCGCCGTTCTGAGGAAAACACTGAACCCTCCAACTGTGGGGAGACTCAATTGCTCGGTCATCGACAGCGGAGATGCTTGATACGTCGTTCACCGAAGGGCGTCGTTCCCGTTGGCAACGGGATCACTTTGCTGATCAGTTTTGCTGGTGAGCGCTGTTCCCACTAGCAGGCGGAAGGTCAGACTATTATCCCTCTGGTGAGCACCGGCTGCGGAATGAACTTGATTGGTCACATTGAAGAGCATCCTTGCCCGCAGCGGAAATGTTTGATTGATATTTCACTGATGAGCACCTACAGCGGATCTGCTTGATTGGTCACACTGATACCCTTGCTAGCAGCAGGAATGCCAGATTAGTATTTCACTGATAAGCACCTGCAGCAGGATCCGCTTGATTGGTCACACTGAAAAGCAGCCCCGCTAGCAGCGGTATTTGATTGATGAGCACCTGCTGCAGGGTCCGCTTGATTTGTCACATAGTTACCCCAACTAGCTGCGGGAATGCCAGATTGGTATTTCATTGATGAGCACCTGGAGCAAATCTGCTTGATTGGTCACACAGACAAGTACCCCTTCTAGCAGCGGGAATGCCAGACAGTCTATCTCTCTCTCACTCCCTCTCTTGCTCTCTCACGCACACATCTCTCATAGACATAGTCTCTTCCTCACTTTCTCACTGTGCAGTATCTCTCTCTCTCCCTTCCTCTCTCTGTCTCTCTCACTCAGTCCGCTCTCTACTCTCTCAGTCTGCTCTCTCTCTCTTCCACTCAGTCCGCTCTCTCTCTCACTCCCGCAGTCCGCTGTTTCTCTCTTCCACTCAGTCCGCTCTCTCTCTCCTTCACTCAGCCCGCTCTCTCTCTCTCTCTCACTCAGTCCGCTCTCTCTCTCCTCCACTCAGTCCGCTCTCTCTCTCTCTCTCACTCAGTCCGCTCTCTCTCTCACACTCTGTCCGCTYTCTCTCTCACGCAGTCTCTCACTCCCGCTGTGCAGTCCCCTTCTCTCTCACTCTCCCTCTCACACGCAAGTAACCGCCTGAGCGCCGACGCGTCTCCGCCTYGAGCTCRTCTCCCACTCTGCAACWGCTTGACGYCGGGCACACCTGVCATGYMATCYCATTCCCTTCACTGTTCTCCCCTATATCCCCTTCAGTCCCATGGTCTGACCGACCAGGGCCTTCTCGGAGTGCAAGTGTGCAGGAARTAGTCCGCCGCGCCACAGAGGAAAAAGAAAACAGTGGTACCGGTCTCACAGGCCCGGCGTCCACAGTACCCAGGCACCAGCTCCAGCCCACTGGCGTGGACAACTCCGACGAGTTTTGCAATGGTTCCGAGCCGAGATAGTCCCCTACATCCCCCTCCTTGCCACGGGCCTTAGCGGGTCAGTGATATCTGAGCGACTAAGCACTTAGGCCCGTAGTGGCCACGGCGTCGGGGCAGGGGCCCCCATGCGGATCCACTTGTACTGCCAGTTTCCACACGGTACCTCGCGAAACCGCGTGGCCCTTCAGACCCTGCAGTACCAGTGATCTTCGGGTAGCAGAAGTAGTCCCTTGAGCCAGGCATGCTGAGCCCAATCCCACAAAAAAAAAAACAAACAGCTCTGCAGCCAATCCCCCCTTAGTCTGCATATGTCTAAAGGTTAACACCTCTATCTGCCGCTGGCCACACTACCTGTATACCCGCAGTTTGACGGTACCAAGTCCCATAGAACTAGAGCAAATGTGGCAATCTTTGACCGATCGCTGGATCAGCGCGCATAAGTGTCCCAGGCTAGTACACACACGAAAATAGTGGTACCCCGTTGCAGTGTCCTATGGAACAAGTTGCGGCGTCACCATACCAATTCCGAACCTTGAACTAGCCAACTAGAACTTGTCTCGACGTTATATCTCAGCAATCCGTACCTGTCAATGTCAAACCCGGATCACTCAGTCAGGCTTGCTGTAATTCTTACCATACCGAGGCCGAACCTGATATAACCATCCGGGGATCCCGTGCCTCGCGCCGTGTCGATACCGATCCAGTACCAAGTCTGAAAATGATGCTGTGGCGTGTACCACGCGAATGCCGAACCAATACCGTACCTGAAACATGTCGAGCACGGCAAGATGCAGCGGCGCGGTAATAGTACCGAACCTAAAGTAAACCGTCGCAATGATCCCGGACCTGAAAATAAATCACCGCAGAGGTTCCGAAATAAACTGTCGTGAGGGCATCGAACCTGAAACAAAACACCGCGATGCCACCGAACTTGACCAAACCCGAAATCCGGTACCGGGCTGTTGTGCCATGCGGATGCCGAACCCGTACAATCATGCCATGATAACCTGTCCCGAACCTGATATAGAATGCCGCAACGTTTCCGGACCTGAAAACAAACTGCCGCCTGGAATAACTGTCGTAGTGGCCCCGGTCCTGAGAATAAATCACTGCCGCTGTCCCAAACCTGAAAATAAGTCACCGTAGTGAGACAGCTGTCACCGGGCCCATACCGTACCTGAAGCACGTCAGACACCGTAGGACGTAGCCACTCCGTAACGACCCTCGTATCCGTACCGAACCAAACACCATAGTCGACCCAAGGCAGCACCACCCAATGTTGTCCATGCGACTCCTGCTCTCAGAACATCTCAACTGCGGTAATGTCAGTAATCAAGCACACCAGGGAAAGCGTCGCAGGGAACCTCGACCAYCGGCAGTAGTGTTAACTTGTTAAAATCCGGGGAAAATGATCAATCCGGAGTCAGAGCTGATGGCGGGTAATCGAGGCGAAATTAGGCCAATCTCCCAATGGTCATGGGTTCCTGTCCCTTTCATCGTTTTTCATCATTCTTCCCTTTCCTTAATTCTATTGTCGGAAATAGTAAATTAACTGTAAGTTCCCCAAAATTAAATTCSGAGAAAATTTAAATAAATGGCCGAATTCCTTTTGTTTCTTTTCTCTTTTACCAATTTTAATCTTTTTCTATGTTTTTAATTTCATTGCCGGGAACATAAAATAACAAGGGTATTCCCCCTTGAATTAAATGTCGTAAAAAATAAAAAAATTAAGGGATATTATGTTTTTCCCTTCTCCCCTACTGGTCGAATCCCTTTTCCCCATCTTTAATTATGGTACTAAAATAGACAAAAATTTGAGGCCTCAATTTGGCCCCGGTCGTATGCCGCAAAAAATGTGGCTGAGAGGTCAGTTCCCGCGATGCCTCTCCGCGGCAGGCCAATCCGGGTCTAACCCTCTGAACGGCCGGAAACGACGGTCCGTTGATGTGCCGAGTGCGACCACCCATCTCGCCATCTTTAAGGGTTACCCGTAAAGTTCAGCGCGCTCAAAATCAAGGGCACCCTGAGCTCCCCTAATTCTCGCTGCCTGGTCTAACCAGAGTACCGTCAAAACTCAGACTCGTCTTTGTGCCTAAGTCCCAAGACCGTAGATTTCAGGCGGCGCACTGCTTGTGGCCGCCTGACACCGTTCCAATTTTCATTTTAAGGAAGGACGAAACAATATTTCTGAATCTGAATTAGATGGGGCTGGTCAGCTCAATGACGATGGGCCTCGCCACACCACTTTCCAAATGAAGAAAAGACAAAAATGTGGCGGGCATCCACAAAAAAAAAAAAAAAAAAAAAGTGGCGGGTCTATCTTGCCATGTTCTAGCAGGACGTTCATCCTCACGTTGCACATTTCGAGAGTGGTGCGGCGAGGCCCGATATTTGGAGGTCGTAGCCCTTCATTAGTAAAATGGAAAAAGCGGAACAAAAATAGAAAATAAAAATCTCCACTGCCGAGATCCGATCGTCAGAGCAATATCATTAGGATTTATTGAATGTCACATTCAGGGAAGCATGCAATTCCGTCGCTTCGTTCTACCATCGCTACACTACACGCGTTCTTCCTTTCGCCTATATGCAACACTCTGGCTGGAGGCCACACGCATTCTTTTCCAACATTGTTGAGATTCACATTTGCCCCTTCAGGCGCTCGTTGCCGAGTCCGTACCCGTGCTTGCTTGAGGCTATGGCAGGAGGTCAGGCGACCTTGCTTACGCGCACGGCGTGCGAGCCGCCTTGTCTTGCTGAGCTTGGACGGCTATGGCGGCGGCGTGAAAGCCGCTGCGGGGGTCGTGGCAGCTGCCGAGGCACGTCGCGGCCTGTCTACCTCCATGCCCACACCTGAAGCTCGGCTACGAGCGGCGATGACGAATCCCAACACGACGATCGTGCGACTGACATTTGACATCCGTCTGACGTCTGATCTTCCCTACATGACCTGTCTTAATCTGACAGTCATCGGAAACTGCAGGACAGACTTCGGACTGCCGAGGCTCTGCCAGATCAACGGTGGAGACCGCTTCGGCGGGTTTGCCGGCGCCGAGGAGCCGATCATCCTGACGCTGCAGAACGTGCTGATGTCACACTTCACTCTTTCGAAAGAGAACCCGCGCTCCGTCATCGCCGGTGGGGGCACCATCGTTGTTAAGAACTGCCTGTTCCAAAACAACACTGGCGGGGGAGGTGTGCTTTTCGGCGCGATCATGAGTACTGTCACCATCGAAAACTCCACGTTTATTGGCAACAATGGTACGGCGATTGGCGGCACGTTTCTCAATGTCTATCTGAAGGAGGTCGTCTTTCGATCGAACATAGGTGGGTCGGTGATCTCTCTTAATCGAGGAATGGTGGACGGCGAAAGATGCGAGTTCGAGGCCAATGCGGGAGGTGCGGTGTCTGTGTAGATGGGCTCCCTTAAGTTTATAAACTCTTCGTTCGTGAACAACTCTTGGGGTGCAGTCAGCGCCGTTGCAGCATGGGCTACGTTCTGCTACTGTCAATTTGAAGGGAACTATGTGATATCGGAGGATGGAGGGACGAGGAAGGTGGAACACGTGTACTTTAACAGGGTGATGATGTACCAGTCATGACTTCTGTTCTGCAAGCATCGGCCTCAAGTCAGAGTGCACTTGGAGTTGCCCAACCTCGCTTCCTTTGTCAAGGACTCTTGCGAGGAGTGTCCAAAATGATGAAAGCATCTCGTTCCTTATCGTCGTAAACTTGATTGTATCTTCTTCATCTTTCTTTTCTTTTTATAGCTTGTAATATCCTTGTCTTTATCTTATCTTCATCTTATCTTTATCTCATCCGTATCTTTATCTTCTTCCGGGAAATATCAAATATCGTCTTCTGTTGACAGGCAGGGAAGGATGTGCGACTGCGTGGAGGGAGGAGGAGGAGAGTGAGGGCGTACTTACACTAGCACTACCTTAAATGTATCTCGCCGCATTTACGGCAGGACTTCGATGAATCTGAGCCGCTGTTACCTCCGGAAATTAGTAAAAAGGTCCTGGCGTGAGTATGCTCGGAGGACGTACTACTCACTCGAGGACTTTCTCCACAACGCTCTGGATATGATGGCTGTCAGATTCATCGTGGTCTTGCCGGAATTGCAGTCAGATGCATTCTGAAAAGTGCTAGTGTGATTACTCCCTGAGACACGAGCGGTGTCTGACGGAAGAGTGGTGTTTCAACTTTTCGAGCAACGACCTCGATTCGGAGGGCCTCCGTGCAGCCACGGACAGCCTGGCTTCCTGCCTCTACATAGGGATCCTGTGCGGGGTGACACTGTCTAGAATCACACCATCTCGTTGTCTTGTGTCTTCCGACTTAATTACCTTATTTTATCCTTGATTAATGGGCGTACACCGACCTGGAGTCTTCGTTTTTCCGACAGCCTTGAGGTCAGAGGTATGATTCTTTACCTGGTAGAGACCTGATGATCCTTCCTTTTACACTCAATTCAATTTAATTCAATTGAATTCGAAGTGATTGATCTTGGCTACTTTGGGTTGCGCCGGGACGTATGTTGTTGTTTTATTTATTTTTTATTTTTATTATTATTATTATTATTATTATTATTATTATTTTTTTTTCTCTCTGGATAAAATTATGAGGTTCTACGCCTCAAATTGATATTTTGGAAATATAATTGGAGTTTTTTTTTTTTTTCTTTTTTTTTCTTTTTCTTTTTTTGAAACAACGACGGACGCGGCAGGTTTTTGGAGTTCGAATGGGCAAAAGAAACATGAAATGCCACTGCGGGAACGGGCATAGTTGGTGAAGGCAAGGAAAACTGGGGCAAGCGGGAATGTCAGACCCCCAGTTCAAAAAAGCGGTAATGGCAGGACCAATATGGTCCCAGTCCCAGGCCATCTCGTGCCGCTTAGGCCACCCCAAGCAGTCACAGGCCGTCCCGTCCCGTCCCAGCTCTGCCTCTGGCCGTTTACCGCGTCTCCCTCCCGCATCTCTCTCCCGCGGCCATGTCCTCTCTCTCTCTCTCTCTCTCTCTCTCTCTCTCTCCTACGTGGCAGCGTGTAGGCCCTTGCT